ATTCTCGACCAGCGGCTTTCGTCCGTGGACGGCGAACCCCTTCCAGTACCCGTGATATTTCGTGTTCTTCACCTGGTCCCGGACCTGCGCACAGAAGACGATGGTCTCCAGCACGCTCCAGCCGAGCACGCGCGTGAAGAGCGCGAGCGATAAACCCTCTATGCCGGGAAGCAGCGAGGCCTGCGTCCACTCGCCCATGAGCCTCAGCTTGGGGTCCTTGGGCCAGGGCGACACGGGGAACTTGATATTGGTGACCTTGATGTCCTCGAAGCCAGCCTCCTCTAGAAGGCGGGGGAACTGGCTGCCGATCGTTACAGAACGCCCCCTCCTTTCACAAGCTTCGGCGATAAGGAGGGTCCACCTCATCAGCGGCGATTCCTCCGTCAGAGTCCCGTCGTCGCAGATCAAGGGGTAGATGCTATCGTGGAGCTCAAAGTAGCCACCGGGCTCCAGGTTGTCAAAGGCCTGGGCGATGACACCCTCCCAGTCAGAGAAGCTGCCTACCATGTTCCTCGCGAATATGAAGTCAAAGGGCTCCGTCCACATCCACTCCTTCTCAAGGTCATCAACCTCAAAGATGCAGTCAACCGGCACATAGGCGGGTTGGATAGGACTCAGGTCTACGCCGATGACCTCCGCCCCAGGATGTTCGTCTGCATAGTCCATGGCCCAGATGCCAGTGCCGGTGCCCATGTCAAGGACCCTTTTGGCACCGTCCACTTTGGGACAGAGGCAGAGCCTGCCGTCGAAGGTCAACATCCAAAGATGGTTGACAATGTCGAGGCGTTCCTGTTCCAGTTCGTCGTTGGGCAGGGCGTACTTGCCATCGCTGAGACGGTGATAGCTGCGGCCATTTTCGCGGCGATAATCGAGGATGCTGGGGTGTTGGGACGCTTGGGAGGTGACGATTGGGAAGAAACTGCCCGCTGAGAAGTGCGCGTCCGAAGGCGCTGACTCTTGCGGAGCCTGCTCTGTCTCGGCCGCCGGCTCCGGGGCGGCTGGTAGTGTGACCGATTCGATGGTCGGTGCGGCGGTTGACGGTTGGCCTTGTTGTTGCACCTGTTTTGGATGATCGGCCATGGCTACGGTCCCAGAAACTTTGTCGTGCAACGATGGAGAATCCAGGATACCTACTGGTACTTACTCAGTACGGTGAGGGGCCTCACAACGTAAGATCAGCTACATTAGGAATCCCGCCCCTCTTTCCCAGGAACATCCCCGCCTTCTGCGTTGTTTCATTGCCCCCCCTACACTAGGCAGGATCCCAGGCTCTTCGATTACCGGTACCACTTGCCTTACTGGTCCACGTGATTAACTCGAGGTGCCTGCACACCGACATCACCATTGGGGTAGACTGCACTAGTTGGAGTCGGAATGGAGTTAGCGCGGGACCGAGAACCCGGACAGCGAGTCGGTATCGGAACAACTCCCGCACCGACCAAAAATTCCTGGACCATTGGGAAAGTAACCATATTGAAGCTACAGCAGCTTTAGAATCGCGACACGACCCTCGAACCACCAGACTCCATCGATCAGCAAACTCGCCGGATCCCCCTCTCGCATTTTAAACATGGTCGTCCGCATACGTCTTGCCCGCTTCGGGCGCGTCAACCAGCCGTTCTACAACATTGTTGTCTCGCAAGCCAGGTACGCTCCCAGTCGCCCTTTCGGCCCGATCCCATAAGCCCCTCTACCAGTACTGCACGCACACGATGCCAGCGAAGAATAAAAGACGAAGCGCCATATCAAGTGAAGAAAGCTAATGCGCGCGTGCCCTCGACTCGCAGAACCGCCCGCAACAGCAAGCCCATCGAAGTCATCGGCACCTACGACCCCGTTCCCAAGCGAGACCCCTACGACGCCACGACCAAGCCGCACAAGGACATCCGCCTCGACTCTCTCCGCGCTCGGTACTGGATCGGAGTCGGGGCGCAGCCGACCGACACCGTGTGGAGGTTACTGTCAATGGTATGACGAGACATGCCCCTTGTCACGCTTTCCTACGATCTGTCTGGGATGGCCGTGAAGTAGAGGACGACGATAGGACGCGGATCAACGTTGCGTGGAGAATTCAAGCTCCAACGATGAACGGGGGACGGTCAGCTGGACTCAGTACTGAACTCGTCACTAACAATATCCTCCGTGCAGGTCGGAATCCTCGAGCCGAAATACAAACCAAACGGGGCTGCCAACACGGAAACAGCAGCGAAATCTCTCAGGGCCCCGCCCGCGACTAAGACATAATGAAACGAATTGGATTCAACATGACTGGGTAGGGGCTGCCGTGTGCCCAGCGGCAAGGTTAGGGTTCACATATCACTCCAAATCGCGAGGGGTGTCGTCAGGAACGCGGCGGACGACTTCTCCCATAGGCGGGCCTGTGCCAACAGAGACGGGAAGAGAACCCAGAGGCAAGCGAATGTACTATTACCGGGCGACTGGTGCGGACCATTGGGAAGTTCGCATGTGAAAATGGGATGGATGGCCAAAGACGAGGCCAAAACTGTGGATGCAGCACCATTACATGTCACATTGACCTGCTAAAGGGCGTATCACACGGGTTGTATACTAAGAAAAGAGGACTGTAAAGGACCAAAATGTCACTCCGTTTCGAGCCTTTTTTTCTTCTTTTATTCTACAAGTTTAGTAAAGGCTGCAGCGACTTTTCACCAGGACCTTACTTAGTCTTCGTATACCGGCACCATGATAACTGAACGGAAAAAGAAGTCAAAGCAAGAAACTAAGCAAACGCCTTGGACATGCAACCGCCACGCTAATGACGGGTTATGCAAAATAGAAGACTCGAGTGAAGCCCCAAAGACACAAGAAAACAGAAGCAAACCATCCAACTCCAAAAATGCGCAACGCTTCCCACGGGGTCCTTTAACATTGCAATGTATCTATCGCTAGTGGCCGTGTAATAAGCGGTTCTGTACTACCGCATTCGAAGACGAGCATCTCTAAAACTCTTCTTTTCCGTGAAGGGTGAGGGAAATGCAAAATTCCGTGTTCAATGAGATGCATGAAATACGATGTTGAGGAACAGGCAAACGACCATGACGCACACGCCGTAAATGGCGAGAGCCAAGGCCATCTTGCGCAGGGCGTCTTGTTCAATGTGCTCGAGGTCCCACCGCCATTTGCGGTTCCATTGGCGCGGATTAGCAACAACGCTGGCGACGCTGCCGAGACTGGCGATGCTGGTTACCATAGGGTCTGCATCCTCTTCGTCCGAGGGAAGGTCGGCGTCGTCATCCTCCTTGTGGAGACGTTGCTGATGCATGCTGTCAGGGTCGCTAATCTTGTAATAGAAAAGACCTGGAAGTATAAAGCTAATGCTAGTTGACCCAGTGCTTCCAACGTAGGCCAAAACTCTTTCCAGGCTGTGGACGGAGAGTGCTGTGACATAAGAAAAAATGAGAAGAACAGAAGTCAGGATAGCGAATCGGGCCTCGCCCATGGAGGAGCTGGATCCGTGGTCGGAGCGGACAGAAGCCGAAGAGGGGAGAAGTGGGTGTCCACCAGGCGAGCTGGTGCGAGCGTTGCCACCTGATTTGCGGTTCGGGCGCCACTTGAGAATCGCATCGACGGATGCGCGACATGGATGAATCTGCAACGGAACGGAGAAGGTGACAAGTACCACAATAGCCAGCTGTGCGATGTACGAAGCGGCGGTCGTCGAATCTGAAAGGGGTCAGCAGCGCCCAGTACACGGATGCAATGCACTTACACATCATGACAATATTGCCTACAACCTTATTGCCGAACGTGAGGTAGCCAGTGATGGCAACGACGATGTAGATTGAAGCGGCACCGCCGATGCTCGACCCCACAACCCCTATGATACTCCCAGGAGAGTTGTCTTTGATTTCGTTCAAGATGGAAAACATCTGGCCCCGAAGTTAGCAAAGAATACTAGACAAGGCAAGCCCCCCTTTCCCCCGACTTACGTTCTGGTGGCAGGTGTATGCAAAGACAACCACGGGCAATGTGCTGAGAAACGCGATGGTGCTCTCGGGTTCGACAACTCTGATTTCGCTCATGTCCTTGAGACGGTCGGTCGCGAAGTGGTAGATGACCAGGATAACAAGATACCCAATCGAAACCAAAGCGACAATACTGGTGTACTTGAGCGAATCCAGCTTTCTGAGGAAGCTCAGGGGAATAATAACCAGCATGAAGGCAGTGATCCAGAAGTTCCGTTCGCCCAGATAAGGATTGCTAGCCACCGCACCACTGAAAAGGCCAATAAAGACCTTGGGCATCAGATCGCCAATGATGATCATATAAGATACTCCGACACCGAAACACTTGATCGCAATGGCAGTGTCAAATAGGATGGCGGCGTTTGGATATGTGATTTTGGAGATGGCGAAGAAGGACGATGTCCCTCGATCGAGGTATCGCGCGCAACGTGACTGCAGGTAGAGGCCGAAGGCGGCCGTAATACCGGACCAGACAATCATCAGCACACCAAGCATGCAGCCCATGTGCGACATCACGGAGGGCATTGCCAACGTTCCAGCGCCAACAACTGTAGCCAACGCTCGTTAGTCTCTTGGCCTACGCCGCACTGGTACGCAGGCTCTCGAAGTTCTTGGGTCGGACGTACTGGTATTGAGCAGATTGATTACGCTGCTTGACATTGAGGCCTGGCCTCCCCCTTCCTTTCCGTTTCTTCGGCGCTGTCTATGTATTGTACGCCATTCGTCAGCAAAGCTCTCCGTCTATCTTTCCCCCCCAAGACATCGTCTTGCTCCGTATCTCTGCGGGGAGGTATTGGTGGGGTCGGCGTACCTTGACATTTCGCCAGAGCTTCCAGACGCAATCGAATTCGCGCTCCCATCAGTAATGGTTGAGTAATTCTGCATATTAGTCCGCTCTGGGTCGCAGCGATCGGTCGTCGTCAGTCGGTCAGGCGTCGTCGTCGTCGTCGTCGTCGTCGTCGTCGTCGTCGTCGTCGTCGTTGGTCGCGTGTGGTTATCGCAGGCGCAAGCGCAAAAGCGGAGGCCAGATAAGAGGGGCTAGAAAGAGTAGTAGAAAGCCGAATCGGGTCACTTGGATGAAGTGTCCACAGGCGCAACCAATCGTTGCAGAACACAGTCGCAATGATTGGTGGGAAATCTCCACTAGATGGTCGAGCAAGGCGGCAACGTAAAGACTGGTTTGGTGTTTGGTAGAGGAAGAGGTTCGTATTGCTGATGATAGAAACGACAGTCTTGCTCGGCTTCCCGACGTTTGGGTGTTTGAATCGGAATCCACACTTCAGGCGGAACAGGCGCGGCGTTGGACTCGCGACTGTTGGAGGAAGCGGCGAGGCAGGTTGTGACGTGATTTTGAGTGAATCTTTCGAAATCGCAAAGGAGGTTGCCACCCTTCGGGGACACTACGGGGACAAACCTCGCAGGTCCGTCGGGGTGCAGCGACTGAGTAATTAGACGTTTGCGCGCAGGCGGCGTGGGCGTGAGACCTGCGCAAAATGGAAATGGTGTCGCCGCCGGGCTGGAGTGCACTGGACAGATGGTGGAATGCGGATAAAAGGCAAATGTCAGGGTGGCTAATACCGGTATATTCGCCTGTCAATCATCAGAGTGTATAACGAGTCACGACGTGGGGGGCGAGTCGGTACGCTTTAAGTATCGACGATCGTCCCTGTCGCAGGTCGTGGCCGACATGCGCAACGCAGGACACACGTCAAGCTGGATGACAACGGGTGTCGATTTGGAACCTAGTATGGATGGAGAGAAAAGAAATATACCGGTCCTGTCGGGGTTCCCGCTGAATAGACGAAAGTTTAAGAAAGGGTGTCGATTATGGATTGGCCAGTTTGCCAGAGCGAACGTAGCGTAACAGAGCCTGGTTACAGGCCGGGGGTTGCTACCTAGGCCTTTGGAGTCTGGGCAGGCGACGGGGAGGAGACGAGAATGATGTGCGTGTTTCTCGGAGGAATAGATGTACCTGAAGCGCCTTGCTTTTTAGGTAACAATAACAAAACAAGACCGGGGCTCCCCGACTGGAACTTGACTAGAGAGAGTCCTTCCGTTCTGAAGTATTGTCCAGTCCACCTGGCCATGAGGGCACATTCCGAATGCCCATCAGCCCAGCAGGGCTTGTGCAGTGGAATGACAAAGACATTATTAGACGCCCACATCGAAGCGCCAGCAGCTGGGGCGAGAGGGATCTGTCGTCCCCGGGCGACGCTTTGTCAATCTGGGCATGGCGTGGTTATTGTAATTACATAACACTTGTCCTGCTGGGTTTCCAAGTTAGGTAGATGATTCCCGCCTTGTTTGCCCACAATGGAAAAAAGTTTACTTTTGTGAGAGTTAAATGAGCAAGTACGCAGATGTCATTTGAAAAAAGCTAAGACGGACATATGTTAAAGTGAGACGCCCCCAACCAAGCAATTTCAGGCCTGGCTGGCTTGGCACGGAGGGATGAAGAGAACGTGCTTATCTCATCGAGGGAGTGAGCTTCTAGGGGAGCACTAGTGGCATAGGTCCGTCACGAGCCACATGTCGCCTGGCAGTCGGGAATCAAAGGGTTTGTCTTCAGGTGCTGCAAGCTTCAGCCACTCAGAGCTCGCCTCAGCCTTACCGGCTGGGTACGCTAACCTACTTATCCACTCGACTCACCGCATCCATCCCGCCCTCTCAGCTGTGACATCTTTCCGGCGAACTAGTTGCGCCAGAGTTCTTGAGTCCAGAGTGCACGCATCATTGTGTTGGGCACGACACGGAGACATCAAATTTTGTCCTGTGCATCAAAAAACTAAATAAAAAAATCGTCCACACCGCGTCTCATCACGCCTTTGACGCGCGACGTCACGCGCAGCTTTCCCAGTTCGCCATGGACAACTCCCTCGACAACACGACCCTCTCGACGGTGTCACTCCTTGAATCACGGCTGTTACGAATCGAGCACCTTTTGTATGGCCCGACCGCAGCGTCATCACCTCCCCAAACAGAGTCCGTAGTGGAGACGCTGGAAGAACTCGAACGTCGCTTCAACCACCTCTTGTCCCGTATCCGCGTGTACGGCGAGCTGATGAGGCTATGTAAGTATTTGCAGGATCCAAGCGCCAGTGCCTCATGTCTGCGGCTTGTTAACGGCGTTGCAGATAACTCCCATCCAACGCTGTTCCAACCCCCTCCGCCTTCCGAACCTCCAACCCAGCTTGCCCCAGAGGCAGTTCAAGCAACCGTCCTCGCGTCAGCGGCGTCCTTCCCGGCCACGGCCTCGTCACTGACCTCTGTGAACGACTGCCCGATCCCCGAATCGTCACAGAGCGCGGCCCTGGCCTCTCTCGTGCCCAAGATGCGAGGTATCGAAACGACACAGATGGCCCAGGAGGCGGAAATGGCCGAGCTCCGCGCCCGAAGCGAGGAGGTCCTTAAGAGCTGGTATCAACAAGGTGTCCTAGGCGCGTCCGAGTTCGTTGCCGAGGTCGAAGGCCGGGTTGAGCGGGTTGAACGCCATGTACGGAGGGCACAGCGGGAGAAGAAAGACGAGGCGGCAGCGATTTGATACCCCCTTGATGCGTTTCCACGTTTGAACGCCGACGACCCTTTCTGTGTCAGCATGCCACCGTCGCTTCTAAGCAGTTTCTTCGAACAGGGCCTCGCATGCGCATAGCACGTATGTTATAATCTCGGAACCGGCCGCTATCGACCTCCCATCGTCTCATGCAGTAGACCTTCTGCCAGCATCCATGAAACAGATGGCTTGCCTTGCCGGATGTAAATTAGAAGCGGCGATTAAATACGTCTAAAGCAACATCGGCAGAGGCAAGCATGGCGGCATTGTCAGCAATTGGCAAGAAAGAGTGACGATGCATCTACGGCCAATCGGCGAAGCAGACTTGCCTGTCGTCTTAAATACCGAAAGATTCTGTTCGTCGCACACTGGGCTCGCCGGCAATTCTGGCAGTTATGCGTCGAAGGTTCAGATCACACATTGCATCGTCTTCCCGAAGCATGTCCGAGGAGTTAAGGGCAAGCTCGAAATGTCGTACATCGGCCACCCGAACGGCGACGTAGGACGAAGAAGTTTCCTCGGAGTTTGCGCATGATCGGATCAGAGTAATTGACCATGATGCAACCACGGTAGGATAGGAGGAGGGTAAAATGCCGAGGCGGCTTGTGCAGTGGTACGGGATTGGCCTCTCCGCGTTTCAGAAGCAGGTTTGTCCTAGCTAGAGGGCCGAGATGGCGGGATTCTCTGATCTCATGAGGCTTTGACCCCGACTAGGTACGTTCGTGGGTTGATTTAAGCCCGTGTATTAACTTGGCAAGTTGGAGAACCAAGCCGAGATTTTGCTAGCAACTTGGCTCTTGAGCAGCCGCAAGCAGTCATCAATATGAGAGAATATCTCGAGCTGCCTTCTCAAAGAGACATGCAGAGCCACGCAACGAGGCCCGGTCAGTGGAAAACACGCCAGGTCAGGATTTGATGGAGGCTAAGACCGAGCTCAGACGGTGACATTGAGGCGCGGGGGTTGGGACAAGGTTGATATACCCAGCCGGGAAAGCTTGGCTTCTTGGATACAGTGCCATCGTCGAGTGTAGTTCGCCCGGCCAGGGGTTTTCATCCGTGGCACACGACTGAGGCACGGATGGCGACGGCTCAGCTGGAAGGTGGCACCGTAATAGGCAAGAACGGCCGATTCGCTCTCGCCGCACCTCGCCTCATCGGAACTCAAAGGGATGATGTAGGTTGCGTCCAAGTGTCGAGCCCAGACGGCCCAGAAGTCGTTTCATTACTCAAAGGCTGACTGAGAGGAAATTGGAGTGGATGGCGAGATACCGGTACTGGAAAGCCACAGGATGGCAGGGTCCTGGCTACCACACGTGTTGGGACGGGAAGACGTCGTGAAGGAGGATGGATATGCGTGTGCTCTGTATGCGTCGCAGCCATCTCACCGGGTAGACGGCCATCCCAGCACGGCACTCATTGTAGATGTCGGGTCCTGGCCCCTCGCGCCCAGACTGTCGGATCAGGATCCGTAGGTAGATGTTTCCTTGATTCAGGACCTCGGTTCCTCCTTCTTCTCCTCTTCTTCCTCCTCCTCTCCCCTTACCCAAAGCCTATGGACAATCCGACTGCTTCTGGGAGAGAAGGTCTTTTGAGGTCTTTGTCGTCACGGCTGCCACATGAAGGAAGGCTTGCCAGTCCTAGACTTTGCCGATGCTGCAGAAGTGAAAAGTGATGGCATCGAATTCGCACAGACATGCTCGTCGACAGCATGCAGGGGGTTGCGGAACGCTGTCAAGGGTTTCAGCTGGTGGGAAACTATCAAGGCGCTGCACAGTGCGCCTGCCAAGCTTTGTTCAGACACGACTTTTGAGGAAGGTGTGATTCATACTCTGGTATAGGTAGTAAGTATCTACGTTTCCGTTTATGTTCACATGCTCCTATGCTTTCTGTTATCTCGAAAAAGGCATACCGGTACATACCTGCTGCTTGCTTCTGTCAGGATCATCTCACGGCAGTCACTATCTCTCCACGCTCTCCCAAGTCCCCCCAAGTGCCCCGGGACCACCAGGGAATGGCAGGAGAGGGGGCAGCCAAAGCGACGGAAACCATGGCGCCGGTGTCGTCGTCAATGACACAGACGGTCGCCGCCCCCGTTGCATCTTGGAGCCCAAACGTAGCTCCGGTACTGTGCAGGAGGTAAAGGTGTCAACCCTGCCCGTGGTTTCTGCATACCAAAAAGAGTGTCTACTTTGCGCTCGGTGGGGGAGGGGGTGGATTGGTCCAGTCGATCACGGCAGCGTTGACAATCCCCATGCGCATCCACACTAGGCCTGTCGATGTCGGTGTCAGCCCGTCACTGACGAGAACCCTGATTGAGGCCGGGCGAGAGACGGGTGAGCGGATAGATGGAGAGTTATCCGGAATCAGTGAGCGGTTTGTTGCAGAAAGACGTCGACACTACGATTGAATCCCAATGCCCAGAGACCGGCTATGTCGGGACGATGGACATTGATCTATGCCCGCGCTTGCGGCGAAAGCGCGCCTGACGCTGAAACACTGCACAGAGAGGAACCTGGGTAGGGCGGGCGTTGATCAGAAGGACCCCCCTGTATCAGGACGACGCGGAATGAGCTAGCAACTCGTCACGTTGCCTTGTGTGTAGCCAGAGTGAATCTGGTTTAAAATCAAAGGTCTCTTTTGCATGCACTCGCATACATGCTTGATTCAGTTGTGGGTTCTCATTACCCATACGCAATGCACTGGACTATGACTCCCTGACATCTGCAGCCGCACAGGCTCGGGGTGTTAATTGGAAGCGCCTCCATTCATCCCGCCGTGGTATTCACTGAAGTATCGTTCGATACTTGCCCTGTGCTCGCGTGAACCCACTCCTAGCTGCCAGTCATCCGCCGAGTCTGCTGATCGTCGTCGCTACATGAAAGAGAACATCTAGCTTCTCTTTCTATAGCAACCGTTTGGGCTAGAGACCCGAGGGGGGAGACGCCTCGTGTACGGCCGGCAGTTTGTTCCAGACGACGCGAAACCTCAGACACTGGGGTTGCTCTCCTGCCAAAGAAAAAAAAGGTTAGTCGGCCGTGTCTCTCGCCAACCGAGTGCCGGAAAACATGGCGTTTCTTTGTTTCCAAGGGCATCGATTATTCTTCGTTGCCGGGAGAGATGCCGCCGTCGCCGCCTACCGTTGACTCTTGCCAGAAAGTTCTTGCTGAAAAGCCTCTCGTTCGATCAACTCTGTCTGCAGCTTTTTCGCCAAAGCCTGCTGATAAGACAGCACACGTCACAGACAGATGAGCTAGGTAGATCACAAGCTCTCTCGCTGCCAGGGTGGTCGTTGCTCCCATTGCAAGCGCACAGCTCAGCACTCGTCACCATCCTCCTTCTCTGTCATCCCAACACCATGGGGTCGACAATGTGTTCGTCCTTGCCCCATGCAAAGAGCAAAGCCTGAAGATCAGTTGTGATGATCATTGACTTCCTCGTCCGGGAAGGCCGGGTGCATCAATGACACGGGAAACATTTCACGTCGGCAGGCGCCGCCGGACGCGGACGCGGACGCGGGCGGCGGAAGCCCGTCGGCGAGTGACAGCGGTATCAGCCATCACCGGTGCTCGTCTACCAGACGACGCGTTCTAGCAGAGGCTGAGAGTGACGGTCGTCGACCGCTGAAATCACACGCCGTTCACCAGCTGTTGCGGGTACATGGTGAAAGGGTAGGCCCTGGGGGAGTATCCAAAACGAGCTTGTTCAACAACCGCGTGGCACACAGGCACATGCACACACAATCATACATACCATTTACTGTTTGAACGCCGCTGGTGTGTATGTACTCGAATGGACCCGAGACACTCCTGATTCGAACTGGCTGGGATCCTCCCTATTGCCGAAGTGGGATTTAATGAGTCGCTCATCCATGGCTCGTGTGAGGGCCAGGCTGGCCGAATACCTACGCGCATGATGACAAGGCGATTGTAGAAGAATCCGGGCTGACATCAGTGGAACAGAAGGCGCAACAACGGGATCTACGGCCCCTCCTCGACCCTCCCGTCGACACATGGCCAGGTCTCGGGTCAGGTAAGGGAGGCATGGTCGAAGGCGCGGACATCACAAGTGAAGCGCCTCAAGGTGGGAGGAGGAGGACTGCGCGCTGGTGGGGACAAGGATCAGGGGCAGGTAGGTGTCTGTCGAATCATCAGATATAGCGGGAGGAGGCGGGCTACTCCATCGTCCAATCAATTCCGTAGGCGGAAATGCCCTGCAGGAACGCGAGGAGGAATCCCAAGAGGAACTACCTGAAAAAGGGAAAGAAAAAAAAAGAAAAAGAAAAAAACTCAAACCCCTTAGCCTCGATTTCTGGGCCAAGGGGGGAAGGGGGGAACGGGGAGTGAAGGGGGGGTGCACCAACAGTTTCCGGGGAAGTTGGTAGAGGAGGACCGGGTGCTTTTGGCAGAAGAGCCCTCCCGAATGAGGGGAATTGTGACGAAGTAGGTACAGGTTTATCGGGCGGCTCGTCCTGGGCAAGTACTCTCTGTCTTGCCCCTGCCTTATTTGGTGCTATCCACTTTTGCCCTGTGCTCCTGCCCGCTGCTGGACGAATATTAGAGGCACAGATGTGCACACGGTGCAAAAAGAAAAGAGTAAACTGTGCCATGCAGCAAGAGAGAAAGGGTAGGTTGTATCAGTGTACGGGAAGTGTTTCTCCGCATTGCCATTGCCACAGTTCGGTTGGCTCAGGTCGTCTACGGAGTACTGGAGGTGTGTGAACGAAGGTAGGTATGTATGCATGCGTGCATCTGCGGTGCCGACGACCGACAATAAAGCGCTGCCTGGTCGAGAATCATTGGCAATAGGACCACCTGGCAGTGCATGGGGGAGGGGGGGAGGGGGCATGATATGGGTTATATTGCCAGTCGGATGGCCCAAAAAGCAGTAATAACTATTCAGTCTACCTACCTGTCCTGTACTATAGGTAATCAATCCACTGTGTAATGAGTGCAAGCAAGTACATCCCTTGATTTCTGCTCGTAGCAAATAAGCCCAATTGATCCATCGGTGCTTGACCTCATCCCACTAATGTGCCTGAGATCTGGCTGGGCCTGTGTGCGATCCACAGGCCCCCCCCCCAGCGCAGCTTACCTACAAGGTACGAACCAGCACCTTACCCGCTGGTGGCCCTTGCATCTTATCGGCGGTCTTCCTAGTCGCAGTTGCAGCCGCAGTCACAGTTGCAGTCCCGGTCCTCTCGCGTTGTCCTCTTTTAATGCCTTTCTCCCCACCCCACTGTTCACTCCTCTTACCCATCCCTTCCAATTCCCATTCCCCGACCAAACGGCTTTCCCAATTGCCGCCCGCTGGCGCAGAGACAGTCACACAGCGCAAGAGGGAAAGAAAGAGGATAAAGGTATCAAAAAATCGGCCCCGGTTCCATTGAGAGAGAGAGAGAGAGACCACGCTCTCATACACGTAGCCGTACAGTACGCCAGCACACCAAGCACGGGCACACGGCACGAGATCGTCATCCGGCAAAGCAAGCAAGATATCCCCATCCGTACACTACGCTAGACCACATCAAAAGCCCACACTCGCTCGGGGCGCGACGGAGTCCGACCAGGAACCGCTGCAACAAAAAACAAAAAAATAGGGGCGGATTGGACCTGTGCTCATCGACACGCGCGATCCACGCAAACCTGGCCCAATCCACTACTCAGTTCCCACTAGTCGAGGTCCCCGACTACGATTACACCACTACCTAGTTTGCCTCCTGCACCCACCCCGAGAGACGTTCCTGAGTTGCACCAAGCCAAGCACCAAAAAAGCCTCTCGCTTCCACTCCCACGAGCTTGACCTATTTCTCGAGCGAGCTGGCAAAGAGAACCCAGAGCTAGAAACTACGCCATAGCACGATATCGACGCCACGCCGCGCCTCCTTCTCCCACTCATCCGCTGCACCAACAGCGAGCCTGGCTTATTCTGCTTCTGTCGTGGTCCCTGCTCACCTCTCTGCCTCGTTTTCCCGCGCCGCCCGCTTCCTTGTTTGGCATCCTGCCAGTCATTGACCTTCATTTCACGCCGTCAACAGACGACCAACGCCCGCCCATTCTCCCTGCTCTTCCCACAGCTTTCCTTGGCTGTCGGCTGCTCCTACAACATCCACCGCCGTCGTCTGTTGTTCGTGGACGCGCATCGCTCTTCCTCTCCTTCAACTCAACATCGATTCGTTGTCATCTCTTGTTGTTTTTTCCTTCCCACATTTGCATCCTTTCTTCTTCCGGTTCATCACTACTTCGACGTTCCGACCCTTTTCTCCCTTTCTATTCCACCGTATCACCAGCCAATCCGCCGCCGTATTCGATTCGCTTCGTCATCACTATTCCGTCTCCCGATTGACCCTTTTTCTTTCCTTGGAAAAGAGGCCGCCTTGCTGGACAACCCTCTGAAACGATTGACTCGCCTTCGAGATTCCCGAATTTCAACCCTTCTCATCATTTCGGGCGCTACGACCTAGACCCATCAGCGCACCACACAGCGCAACCTTGCGCGTGCTGAATCGACACAGCCGTCACAACCACTACAACATCCGTCCCCCGGTACCTCCAAGATTTACCGACAGGACCAACCACCAGTCGCTCCTTTTTCCCCAGTACCCTGAGGAATCGCATTCCAGCCGCGACAACCCCTTCGCGGCATTTGCATTACGTATCCACCGTTGGATCTTGCACCGTTCCTTCTCGTCCGCTTTGCCAAATAATCCTTCTCGATCGTCCAGCTTTTGACAATCTTTCGGGGAACCGAACTTCGATCGAGACTGACTCTCGTCATTTGCCCCTAGGCAACCGATTCTCACGCGACTAAACCCCAACGTCTTTCTCTATGCCATCCTACGGCTCCCTTCACTCACCATCATTGCGCAAAATGGAACAGTCAAGAGCTCAGTACGGGAGGAAGGGTATCAATATGGGGAATATCATCGGTGACCCCTTTGCCCTGGCAACGGTCTCCATCTCCATGGTAAGTTGATGCCGGCACAACGTCATGCCCCTTGCCCCTGCCTGATGCTGACCGTTCTCCAGCTTGCGTGGGTAATCGCATTCATCAGCTCCATCATCGCGACGACACAGGTTACAAATGACTCCGGTTCGTTTCCGCCTTTCGCATGGTGGACAGTCGTCTACATGTTCTTCGTCATCGCTGGCGTCTTCGTCGTTGTTGCCTCCGACACAGCGCAAACCTATCACGTCGCTCTCACGGGATACTTAGGGGCCGCATTAGCCCTGAACTCGCTGACCATCCACTCCCTCATCTACTCCGCCAACGGAGCCCGCCAGGCTGCCGGTGCTGGCTTCATTCTAATGGCTATGGTTACCGTACGTTTTTTCTTTTTCATTCCTTATTTTCCTGGCTTTCTTTCCTTTACAGAGCGACTTCAATACTGACTGCCACAGATTGTCTGGATCTTCTACTTCGGCTCCGCCCCTTCAGCAAAGCCGCGCGCCTACCTCGACTCCTTCGCCCTCCAGAAGGAGTCCCATAGTCGACAGATGATGTACGGAGGCGGCCGACCCGAAACCTCGACCTCGGTGCAACCTCCGCAGATGTACACCTCGGCGCAGCTCAATGGCTTCGAGAACCCGTCTCCTGTTCAGGGCATCTCCACAACCCAGGCTCGCAACTCGATCGTGGCGCCAGCTTTCAACGCCACGCCACCAGCCACGAAAGCTCCCGGCCAAGACCAGGAGGTAGTGCCGCCCACCGAGTATCCTTACCGCGCGAAGGCCATTTACAGCTACGAGGCCAACCCCGACGATGCGAACGAGATTTCCTTTTCCAAGCATGAGATCTTGGAGGTCAGCGACGTAAGCGGACGGTGGTGGCAAGCGCGCAAGGAGACGGGCGAGACGGGTATCGCACCAAGCAACTACCTGATCCTGTTATAATGAAGCTCATGAATATCATTTCGCTGTTGGAGATGGGAGCAAAAAAAACAAAAACAAATGATCCTGTGGGACACGGGAATGGTTTGACGTTCACTGCTTGCTGGAGCACATTAGGGCCCCTTGTCCGGGATAAAATCGATTGCCGCCTTTCCGAGCCACGGGCGGCAGCACGTATATCCGCCGAAATGGCCTCTTTCTTCTACCTGTTGTTCTAACTTCTCCCCGCCCACTCTCGCCCGCAGGCCTTCTCCCTTTTACTGCTAGCTTGCGTTGCCATTATCGCTCGAGCAAAGGGATTGTGCGTGTTTTTTACCACTTTTTATTTTTCGTTTTCTTTCTGGGACGGTTTTCACGAGCAACGGGTTGGTCATTCGGATAGCTACGGTAGTTCGCAGGTGGGATACCCATGCATGCTGGTGTTCCCTCGCTGTGTTATAAATGGTATTGCATATATTCAAGAGCTACATAATGGCATGGCAATTGTGAACGCGTGAGTGAGGGCTGATTGTTACTGGTTCCATAACGCCCAGAGGTCGAGAGGTTTATTGAATCCATTTCTGCAGAATTCTCGTGGCGAAGATGCTATGCCGACTCATGCCAATTTCCATTTCGACTATTGTCCGATATCCGACTTGAACCCCAGACAGGACCTCGGAGAACCCCGTCACGCGAGATCTCCGTGCCGGGAACACAGTCTCATCGAGCCTTCTACCCAGCAATGCGGCCGCCTATTCCGCTAACCTGACGTTTCCAATCAAGGCAAAGTCACTCACTCACTGCCGCCTCGCATTTGAACTCAATCTTGGTCTACAGAGCCGTGTTTCGTTTCGTGAAGGCGACGTCCTCGCCCTCTTACATTGGGTATCATAACAATCATCCATAGCCGATTTTTCCTTCCCGTGGGAGCACCAAGCCCCTCCTCTGCTTCGTCCGGACGCAAGCAAAAGCTTCGGTCGGTCTCGCGCCAATTCCTTGACTCCCGTCTCCCGACCGGTGTGCAGTCATCACTCATGCCTTGTCCAACCTTTTCCTCAGCTCCCTCTCCTTGGTCAGGACCTCCAACTCGAGCCTCTCGACGCTGTACTCCAGTCCTTCCCTCCGCTGCCGCACAGCTCTCGCGCGCAACGCGCTCTCTCCACCCAGCGGCCTCTTGGTCCCCGCACCCCGACCCAGGCCCTTGCTCTTACCCTTCTTCCCCGCGCCGCCATACCCGTCGTCCCCCTCGGGCTGCGCCAGCCGGCCCTGCAGCAGCTCGCAGCGGGCCTGCAGCGTCTCGATGCGCCTCTCGCGACGGGCGATCTGGGCCTCGGCGCGGTCGAGGAGCAGGGCGATCTGGGGGCCGATCTCGTCGCGGAGCGAGGCCTCGGCGGCGGCGAGGGTCGGCTGCGGGATGAGCTCGAAGTGGCGCGTCGGGCGGAGGACGGAGGACAACCGCGGGAGGTCCGAGACGCCGGCGTCGAGGGTCGCGACGGAGGACTCGAGGAAGTTGAGGGAGGAGCGGAGGGAGGCGACGCAGTCTGCGTAGGTGGCGGCGTTTTGGGCCATGGTCTATGGTTTGTGATGCGCGATGCGTGTTGTGGTCGTCGTGCGTGGTAAGTGGTGCGTGTTTGCGCGGTGGCAGCCGCTGTTGTTGTTATTGTTTTTTTCTGTCCTTTGTTTACTTTGGGTGTTTTTGTAGGTCAATGGTGTGTCCCCGTCCCGATCGTGGGGATCTGGTAGAAAACCCCGCCAGTCGGCCGGTCGGATGGGCGGATGGTGGTTGATGGGAGGGAGGGGTTTTGCTCCGTCGACGTCTTTGGCGGGGAGTCTCGTTGGGTTTTGCTGAGAAGTGCGCGACGTGTGTCTCCTGTCGGTTGTAGGATGATGAACCTTTGTTTTTGTTCGTTGGGAGGCTCGAGACGCTTGTCTTGCTCCCACGTTGTTTACCTACCTACTCATACTTACGGGCCCCGGAGCGGGTTCTGGTGCACGGGCCATGTCCCGCCGCGCGGGAATCTCGGTTGAGCTTCGGCGTAGGTGCGCACCGGGGCTCTTGCTCGCCTTGATTTCATAATTTGGCAGGGCAAGAATAGCCACGTCATAAACGTCAGCTCTTTCCTCGTCCTATATCTAGTCGCTCACTTGACTTAGCCGGATCATGCGAGCTCTTATTTCTTCTTGGTTCACTGTCTTGCCAACCTCCTAGATATATATGCATCCATTACTTCATCGGCATGTCTGACTTCCTTCACCGCCGCCGCGTCGTTGCGCGCGTAGACGGTCAAACCAGGCTGCTCTTTATCCAGCCTGGCTGGCCGCTACATGGAGGTGAGGCGGTCAGCGCGTCGTTTTCTCACAAATTCGATGGCAGCCTTATGGGAAACAACCCGCGGCAGAAACTTCACTGATCTGATGTCAGCATTGCCATATGTTGACCATTCTCGTTGGTGGAATCACCCTGCTCTGTCTTTTTTCTTGCGCGCAGATCCGTATCTTCTGATCACCATTCGGAACAGCCGTCGCCATTTCGTGATCGAAACGACATGTTGCAACACCACACAACGACGTGCTTGCCAAGAATGCTTATACGACCTATAGAAGAGTGGAGGGGGTACCCAATGTAGCCTATGCCTCGTTAGCCGTATGCTTGGCTCAGAATGCAGTGAGATTTCACGCCAGCTGGTCTAATCTGATTAGCTCATGGAATCTACCACGCGGCCCACCACCAGTCGGTGGCGCCCCTTGCCTTCCAACAGCAAAACTCGATATCCCGAAACTGAGCGGCCGCCCAGACTTGTGGGACGCGTCGTGACACCACGGACCGGACTGACTGCAAGTCTTGTGAGTCTAATTCGATGCCTCGTCTTGGCACTTACAATCCAGCCTGATCGATGCCATCTGTGGCTGTTTGGGCGAGACATGGCAGCCGACAGACGACTGCTCTTGTTGGGCCATAAGCAAATGTTTGCTTCCTAGAAGCAGTGGAAGCAACGGAGGGTATTACTGGGATCAGGTTCGCCGAGATCTTCTGAAATACAACTTATTGTGTTGGTGATGTGACGCCCTGTGTATGCAAGTCATATTGCGGCTGCTTATGCCAGACTCGGACTATGTCCCATCTGCGCTTTTTGGAGGGTGTCGCCTCCTCTGGTCGATCTGCGGAAGTCCCGGCCGAGTGCTCAACGAAATTTGCATCTCATGTTGCTTCGTATATGAAGAGCCCCTTGGACTCTATCATGGCCTCTAATGACCGAGCCCATCGCAGTTCCCCCCAGAGCAACGTCCCGGTCGTCCTAAACCATGTATATCGGTCATAACCCCCTCTCCGAGCGGGCATCTCCAGTTCCAAACGTATGTTTCCATGCAGTGCCACTCACCCTCTAAGAACGCCAGCCTGATCTTTCCAGCCTACCTCGTCACTTCCGGAAGAGACACAGCCCGAAAGTGCAGGCCCGTCGGGGTACAACTGTGCAACCGTGGCTGTTGCCGTTGTCGTCGCTCTTCTGCTGCTGATGGCTGTCGCTGCCATTGCTCGCACCGAGCACCGGAAGAAGAAGGCCCCCGATGCGCTAAGAATCCGTATGCAAGGGAAGGACAACGAGGACTTGGGTCATTCAGAAACGAGATGGTCTCTTGGGAGTTTTGACTCCGCCGCGGGATTGAAGGAACCGAAGCCTGTCGCACGGGGTCTCTCCTTCGGAAGACGGTTTGCTCTATTATATGAGAATAGGTAAGGGGTGTGGCGAGTTTGTTGAGGAGGTTCGGGCGGATTTGCGGTGATTATTATGTGTTCGCCGGTCAACGGCTAGGTTTTTGATATTCCTCGTTCCTATAGAGAGGCGGACATTCGGAGACATGCAGATTGCCCTTATTCTTGATAAACAGCTAGATGATTGCGTCTATCGTGGCTCGCTCTTGCGCATCCAAGATACGCCAAGCTAATAGTCCCTGCAGTTTCCTGCCTGCGTCGGCCAAAGGCGACCTCGTTGTCGACGCCGAGTCCGCGTAAATTCCGCTCACCCCCGGAAACCAATAACCCCAGAGCGACTGCGCTCGACCTCCCAAGCCTAGCTAAGGCATTTGATGTTCTCTAAGCTCGGATCTTCTCTCTCGCGGCTCGTCGGGCTTCCGTGGACGTGTGCATGCTGACGCCGGGGCTAGGCATAAGTTCCGGACCCACTCGGATCTAACTCCCGTCGTGTCGTCCCAGCACGTTGCTGTACAGGCGGGCCTGCGCCAACGACAAACCACAATGTTGGCCTGCAAGAGAAGTAGCTACTATAGTACTTATCGTGACAACCATTGGATCCGAGCTATAAATACGCCTTCCCAGATGCCCACACGACTCGTCTCTGATCTATCACAGTCCGGTATCCAAACAGCTCCTGCCATCTTCACCATTCCCATCACTTGACAATTTTAGAGAAGATCTCCAGAGCTATGTCTTTCAACCTTAGAGAACCAGGCCGCGCAATTCGTGCTGGCGTCATTTTGACCAAAGGGTTTGTGACTGACCATGTCCACCCACCCCCCCTTCAATGAGGTTTGCTGATAATTGAACTAATTACAGTGTCACGGAAATGCTCGACGTCGCTCCCTTTGAGTTCTTCGCTATGACAGACAAGGCTATGTGTCAGATGCTGAATTTCCCCAGGGAGATGTGGAAAGACGCTTTCGACGTAGAGCTACACTGGATTACCGAGGACGGCAAGCCCGCCAGGATGAGGAGCGCTGCCGTGATTCAGCCCACTGTAAGTGAAGAAAAGGGACCCGGGGATGTTAGCGCGGGGCCTACGTTGATAAAACGAACAGGATTCGTTCGAGTCTTGCCCCCCGCTTGACATCGCTCTCATGGGTGCCCATGACGCCGATTACAAGACCAGCGAAGCTGAGCTTGCCTTCATCCGCAAGGTCTGGGGTGAGTGCAGCGCCTTCCTCACCATCTGCGGTGGCATGATGCCCCTTCTGGAGGCGGGAATCCTCGCCGGCAAGACGGCCACCTGCCCTCGTCCCATGGTCACTTTGATGAGGAAGAAGGTGCCAGTCGTCAACTGGGTCGAGACGCGCTGGGCTCATGATGGGAAGCTCTGGACATCGAGTACGCTGCTGAACGGCACCGACATGATACGCGCCTTTGTCGAGTCCACGTGGGGTGGGAAGAACGGGATGGTTGAGGCAATGCTTGATACCACTGCATTTCCCGCGAGAGACGTGGATTTCAAGGATTTCAAAGGGCATCATTACGCGGTTGAAGAAGTGGACTTTATGTGATCGGTGCTACAAATCTTTCTTCCAGCGGCAATCCACGAAGACGTCTTCGTTTCGACCTGGTTCGCCAAGACAGTGGAATATTACCATAGCTGGGTCTCTCAAGGATCCCGAGCTTGCCCGTTTCGTTGCGATATATCAATAACTCAAAGGTCGCGCTAAAAACGACGCCGTTAATTGCGGGCAGCAATTAACGCCTTATATCGCATCGTGACATCAAATATTATCCGAAAAGGTAAATTATATCAATTCCACGTGGTACACTGATCTTATCGACGGACGTTCCCCTCGCATTCTCGGTTCAGGTACATGGCCATTGCAATTAGTTTTGCTTCAACTGAATTAATCTTGATTATCGGGCCTCACCTTCTGAGCGCCAAGATGTAGGACCTCCGCAAATACTGACTGACCAGGATCTCTTTTCAAGAGGAGTCAAAGTATAGTATGGCCTGTCGGCATTTAGCTTATCCAGGGATCTAGAAGAGGCACACGGAGTACTTGCTTAAGCACATGCTATGCACGTATCAGATAAAGGCGAAATGCATACAGCCCAGTCCGCTGATAGGTCTCTGTCCGCTTGTACCTCTTTGCCCATGTCTTGTGAGCAATGCTATGGGGGTTTGGGCAAGATGGCTAATCGCTGTCTCAGTGATTACCGGTAGATACCCTTACGCGAACCTGGCGCTGCTGCCCTGAAGAGTTTGAACAATTGTCTTTCATATACCCAGGGATATCTGTAGCATAATTAATTCGCGTAATCCTGAATAGTGGCCTGCAAAAAATGGTATCATCAATGTAGTCACCTGACCCCAAAGTTAGGGAGTAAGGGTAAAACAAACCGCCTTGACGGTACAGTATACATTGTAAATTCAGTATGGCATCATGCACTGTATGTACCGTGCGGGCCCCCTCTCAGTGATTGCCGAGCCGGCGGCCGTTCCTGCCGTCGCGTGGTTCGTCGCTGACCGTGCGTGCCACTTGTAAACTCGGATGCGGAGTGATGTCAGCCCGTCGCACGTCCCTTCCGTCTTCTTCCACCCTTCTCCTGAAGTGGTCGGCAGACTTCAACTCATTACCTTAACGTCACCTGCCAATCCCAAATCAACACAAACGAAGTCATCACGAAGCTAACTTTCCTCCGATATGGCTCTCAGAGTGAGTGCTGCCGAGGACCTGAAAAAGGCAAAAAAATACTGATCGCTGGGTGTAGACTCTTGGTGCAAAGGCGGCTGCGGCCCTCGATAAGGACTTGATGAGTACTGGTGCCTTTTCTATTGACCAGCTGATGGAACTTGCCGGTCTATCCGTTTCTCAAGCCGGTATTATTGACGTCGACCCAGAGCGCCATGGCAGATGAAATTGACATCTGATGTAGTCTACCGTGTTCACCCACCTAGCCGGGGCGTGAATGTCCTGATTGCCTGTGGACCTGGAAACAACGGTAGGCCTGGGTCCCTGCCGAGAGTACAACGTAAAGCTCACCTAGCTGCAGGGGGCGACGGATTGGTTGCCGCCCGGCATCTTCGTCACTATGGCTACAATCCGACTGTTTACTACCCCAAGAGAAGCAAGAACGAATTATACCAAGTGAGTGAGGATTCATTTGCTCTTGTCTATCTCGATCGATTCGTTCGGCGCGATTATACATGGGGAGTGCTTGCATTACATACCATATCTATCAGCGACTCCTCGTCTTCAAGTTTTCATTGTATCACCCCCAAAGATTGCTGATGCTTTGTGTCGTCCTCCCACGCCATGCTATGCAAGCGCACAACTCTATGGTCATCCTCCCAAGAAAGCGGTAGCGTCTCGGTTCGCGCATATCAGTTGCAAATGTTGCAATGAACCCCTTTTCCTTCCATTCGGGGGACTGGCGTGGGCTCGACGCTTTTCGCTGATCGTTTCCTCTTTAGCGACTGGCGCAGCAGTTGGTAGATCTGAACGTTCCATTTGTCGACGATTTCACGGCGGCTCTCAAGTCAACGGATCATATCGTAGACGCCATCTTCGGTTTGCTTCCACTGCCGCTGGTTTCGTGATTTCGCGCCTAACATTGTGGTATCAGGATTCAGTTTCTCTGGCGAAGTTCGCGAGCCGTTCCCTGCAGTGATCAGGGCACTCGAAGAAACAAAGTTGCCTGTGACATCGGTTGACGCTCCTTCGTCATGGGACATCGAGGGTGGCCCGCCTCCGTCTGGCCCTGGCAGCTCTTTCCAACCTGCAGTACTCGTCAGCCTGACGGCGCCCAAGCCGTTGGTTAAGCATTTCAAGGGGCGCCATTTCATCGGCGGAAGGTATGGATGGCTTGGAATTCCAGATGATCCTCCTCCCCGAGGTATAAGGAAATTCTGTTGGCTGACCTTGGGAGCAGATTCGTATCGCCGGGCATTGCTGAAAAGTACAATGTGGACATTCCGCCATACGAAGGCATCGACCAGGTGGTAGAGGTTGACAACAATGGTCAGAAGCTATGAATGAGTCAGTCGACACGGTCTTTTTTTTTTTCTTCTTTTCTTGTTGGTTGCTGTAGTATTTACCGTTCTATCTCTGGGGACCTAGAGCCAAGCTTTTTCTCTCGCCGAGGCATCTGTCTAGATGACCGCGCAGCCCCCAATGCGGCTGTTTGGACAGACAGGACTGGGACATCGACCATCTAGCATCTGCATTGGCTGAACTATAAGACCCTGCGGGCAATCCAAAAGGGGAGGATGGTATGCGTGACAAAATGCGACATAGACGAGGTATAGTCTTCGACAGACTGGGCAGACAGTTTTGTGCTCAACACACATGAAAGCCGAATGAAAGGGAGTTTGAGCCTCTCGGACAGCGTGCGAAGAGTGATGATGAGGAAGTTGATCTTGAAGAGGGCAACATGGAAATGTTTCTTCCGGGTCGAAGCAGCGTTGGGAGCTGACAGTAGGCGGAGGAACCACCAGGGCCTGTTGAGAGTTGGCGTCAAACCGGCGGCCCAGGTGTGGCTGATATAAACAGCAGCTGTGGCTGCTGCCCCCCAACGTGTGAGTCTCTCATCCAATAAGGAGACAAAGTTCTAGGGGATTGCCACACGGGGGGGTTCCGCAGGGACCCCTTGCCAGGCCGGAGCGTTTTTAACGACGACAGAGAACGTTTTGGACGAGGGTGCCGGAGGTTCTCTTTGGTTGGTCGGCGCAGACGGGACGCTGTAGAGTACGTACGTGAGTCTAGGGTGGGGAGGGGCGAATCTGGAAGAGGCTGCGGCGGCGGCAGGCTTGACGGGAAGAAAGATTTAGGGGGGGGGAGGAAACGGGAAGAAGGCGACGAGGGGCGGGAATTTGTCTTGTGAAGTGAAGAGAGAAGGGGGAAGGGGCAGAAAGGTTAAAGGGATAACCGATGGAAGAGGAAGGGCAGGGCAACAACGCGGCAGCGGAATGGAGCGGATGAGGCGAGGCAGAGTCTAATCATGCTCGACAATTTTGATTTGTCTGTCTGGGAAAAGACATTTTGGTGCGTCCCATATCCCATTCAATTTTTTTTTCCCCTTCTTCCACCGTAAATCCCCCTCCCTCCATGAGGAAAAATGTACTCTGTACAATGCGGCTTCCGGGCGTGGCACCCTTATTCCCCATCGGTATCCCCAGGTCGGGCCCATGGCCGGGTCAGGTAAGTACAAAGTAGTGCAGAGAAGGAGACGCGAAAAAAAAAAAAAAAAAGGGTCGAATGGGGACATGTCTCCAAGCCAGCATCCCAAGCAGTTCTGGGTTTCCTGGGCCTTGCCGGAGCAAAAGCTCCTCGCCACCCCTGTGATAGGCCCGAGCGGCAAGGCAGCGCTTATGGGGCCGCATGGAGCACTGGCTGGTCTCCGTCGTTGTGAGGTGCTACCCGGCGGGACCCACCTTTTTCTTGTCTCTCTCTTTCCTTCTCTCAGTGGAACCCACAACGGCGAGAACAAGTATCCGTATACCTAGAGGCAGGCGAGACAGAGACAGGCGCAACACTGAACTAAGCCACAATCCCTTCACTATAGCCGTAGTTCCCGACCATTCAAGCAACCCCCCATTTCAACACAGTCCTTGTCCCGTCCTTCCGTTGGCACCAACGAGCAAGAACATAGCAGGTAAGTACAATGGGTGGTAAGGAAACGCAACGGCCCAATCTGGGTACGTCTGTACTCGTACACTTTCCCCCCCCTCCCCCCGCCTAGGTAGATATCTACTGTGCCTACACGTGGCCCTTCCCTCATTCATTATTACCTTGCTCTCCTTGCATGCTTTAACATAGCACGAAGGCTTTTCCTTACACTAGACCAACGGCTCGACGGGGTTGGTCGGTCGGCCTGTCTGCCCTCACAACAGGCACCTCTCTCTTCGCCGGCTTTAGCTTCATTCTGACTTGTTGAGGCGGTAGACCGCGCATGGAACTCGAGGTTCGTGTCGGGGTCTGGACTTTCCGCCCCCCGGCCGTACTGTCGTTAGCTGCAGCAGGAGCGTGGGCGGATGTTCGGGATGCCTACAAGTATCGGGTTAGAGCTGGTAAGTACACTGTTAGTCAGGGGATCCCCTGCTGCTGCTGCTGCTGCCACAGGCCGAACTGTCGCTCGAACTACAGAGTACACGTCATAGACTCACTTTTCGGGGGGAGGAATGGGCTTCTTTAGAAAACGGTGCTGCCGCCATAGGGGCTTTCCTATCAGTGCTAATGAGGACAACATTTTCCATGGTTATCAGACCACACAAATGGCCACGATTGGACGGCGTCCAATCGTTCCATAAGCTTCATTCAGCCCGACGCCGCTTCCAGGAGATCAATTCCATGACTGGGGTCTGTTGACTTTGCCTGCCAAAGTAGGGGCCTTGCCATGTGCCCCTCGCTTGGAACGCGAACAAGACTCGTCAACATCGAACGAGGCGCCGACATTAGTCCACACGGCATCCGGGGCTTCTGGTCGTTTCGAGAAAGTGACATACCTATGCCTGGGCTAACCATGTCAAAAAGCAAGACCCTGGAATGAGGTACGTATCCAAGGCGGTCCTTCTTCGGGTCGCATAGCTACATAATAATTCTCTAACGCAGTTGGGGAAAAACGGGGTATAAGCATGATGCATGATATTCAACACAATACATGTAGAAGACTCCTAGAAGAACCGTAATATCATGGAAATACCCTCATGGGAGTCTGGCTTCACGCCAAAGTGCGAGAGATGCTAATGACCCTTTCACTCTCCACCAATTCGAACATGTCCTAGCTGCTGCGCCTGAGAGAGCTGGCGCCAAGTGGTCATTGCAGCCATGCAGCAGCAACAGCCTGGTTCAGAAGGTATGCCATCGAACCCCCCGACCATAACCCCGCATCTGGGATCGCGCTGCCTCGATCAACTCTCGTCGAATATGCAGAACCGTCTGCAGGTCGACGAGCCACGTCTGCTCAAGTACTGTCGCACTCGGATAGCCACCCGCCCTCACTTAGTAGCTCGATCGCGGCCCTGGGAGTGGTGGGGGATGGAACCACCAAAAGTCTGTGTGGCGAATAGCTGACGCTGCCCACTAGGTTCGCCTTGCGTTAGCCATCCAGACCCCATACAGGGGAGGTGGTAAAAAAGAAGAAGAAGAAAATAAAGGGTCTAGCGCACATCATTGCCTTGGGTTGTTCTGAAACGGACACCAAATCAGATTTAGCAAGCAAGGTCGGAAGGGATTCCGGCGGTCCCAAATGAACGGATAGGTCAGAAACACAAAGTCTGAGGTGACAGCACGCTCGCTTTCGTGACCGTCAGACGAAAATAAACCAGCTTCTGGTTCATTGCTAGCCTGGAGAAATACCTCTGCATGCAATTCGCTTCATACACTACAATCATCTCACGTCATTGCAGCGGGTGCCCGCATCTCATTGCGACGCTTCGGACTATCCACTGTCGACGCCCAACGAGATTGAGTTTTTGACATCCCAGCTTGCGCTGGGTGCCAATCTTTGTCAGATTCTGGCCGAACCCAACCTGGCCAGGTCGGTGGAGAACCAGCTGGCGCTCGGCCCGAGTCGTGCTATAGGGAAAAAGTAGTTTTACTGCGACCCATATCCTCGTTTGTTCAGGGTCCAATTCACGAGAAACCCCGCCTACAAAATGTGAATGGTGCGCCCACGCTTGAATACGACGCTCTCAATCCCGTATCAACATCCACCTTATCTGTCCGGCCACGACAATGAGACAATTCAACGGCAATGGCCGCTCCAAGTCTCGACCAGTGATGCCCGATCAAGAGGTTCTCGACCCGACGGCAACCTCTTCGTTATGTTGTACTCTCCAGCAGGAAACTAGGTCTAGGGTTCTCAACATGCCAGGCATCGGCTCGGATCGGATGGCGGAGCTGGCTCCGATGCAACATTACTTTCTCGAGATGCGAATGACTTGCACAGGTCAACATGCTTTCAGGCTCTGCGCACGACTCGATGGCTTTTTTTTTTTTTTTTTTTTTTCCCTTTTTGCCGTGCACGACAAGAACTAAGCGCCCCTGTCAGATCGGCCAGACGCGGCTGCGGTGGCAGACGATCGTTTCACCCTTTGGAGTGACTTACGGCAGCAAAATTTGACAGGCCCCATGTTGCGCCTACGAATCCCCTCCCCTCTTGCCGCTGCCACGCACAGTGGCCGCGTTGGTTCCCGCGGTCGACGGTTTGAGGGCATTCGGACTATTCCCAAGTGAGTGCTGCAGGGCCCCACTTGGGTGGCCTGGCGGCCGTGCAACCGGCCCAGGATGATTGACGACATGTGATATTGCCCGTCTCTCATCAATGGCGCCAATTCTGATACAACCCTCTTGTTTGTTCGACGAGTGCTGTTTTGCGGGACGAAGTAGGGTGGCATGAGCTGCAGCGAAATTTCGCGAAGATTCCATGACGTAGGGGGGTCGTGTGGGGACTGACTTCCACGTCGGCCACGGCGCGCGCGGGGTTCGTCATGCCCGCGAATGCGAAGTGACCTCTGTGGTTCAGCAGTCTCAGGCCGAGCAGAATTCACACTCGCCACAGGGGAGGGGTAGTGAGTTTGTTTCGACGACCAACTAACGATGCGAATCGTTCGCCTGTCCTCGTCCAATCTCACCCCTCGACAGACTGCTGACGAGTGGTTCAAGCCATGCATGGGTAACCTACATTCTTCGACTCCTCTGAAACTCCAATCTACTAGGTATGTACTGCAACCGTATCAAATAGGTTGCCACATCCAAATGCTAGGCAGAGTCTAGCTTGCTCAGGAATTCCTATACTGGACTGGTCTTAGACAGGGTGGGACTTACGAACCTGCCTCACCTCCGACACCAATCAAACCGCCAATTTTTGTACTTTGTGTGTATTTTCTACATGTCTTGTACCCCTTACATCCCATACAATGCGACAACGGAGCCTTCCGGGAGCAGTGGAGTTTAAGCCCAGCCTGACCCTTGTGAATAGTGGCATAGACACTTAGCACCTCGGCATCACAGGAACCATGCTAATGGACTCGCCAGCCACGCCACGGCCTCGATGGTCACGTTTTTTTTTTTTTTTGCCGCCAAGATAACCTCAAGATCCCAGCCCATAGTCCGAGGTCCGAAAAAGGTTACATGGCAATATCATCTGACCCTTCCTATGCGAGCCTGTTCTAGGCCCTCTAGAACCGTCTCGACCTTGATCCCATCGTTCTCCACATCTCTACTTATAGAAATTTCGTATCTCTCTGGTCATGGCTTTACTTTCATAGGAGTACACATATGAGTCCCGCCTTGTTATCGTGTACTTGTGCAACATTGAGAGGGACCGCCTCGTATTTCGTATCTTAGTATCGGTCCCGCATCCTTGCGTGGCGAGTCCGTGGGCCGCAATCGTCATTGCGGACGCGGTTGTTACGATTACGAGGTGGTGTCTAGGGGCATGTGTGTCGTACCTTCGAGGCGGTGCTGCGACGGGGAGATGCAGGTCCGACGACACGTTACTATGTATGGTGACAGCATCGCCGTCATCGCTTCTCATGATGGAGATTGTGGAAACCCTATCTACAAGGGCGTGGCGGCGATGACAGTGAGATTGAGGTGTCTAGCTGTGAACCTATCAGGTCGTGGACTCGTGATAGTTGTCAACTTTATTTAATCGGGTCGGCAAATGGATTTCCGATGCCGCTCAGTAGCCTGCGTAGGTGAGTCACCTCGTCAAAGACGGTGGAATATGCCAGGCCTCTGACGGTGGATTGCCGTTGACCAAGTGAGTCATTTGGTCTGATGATTACGTGTTGAAGCAACAATATGCCGCAAAGACTGAATGATATCAAACCTTTATCGTCGTAGAGAAGGCTCAAAAAGATGTATCAATGCAAGTTTTCAATTGGCTCACCATGATCGTAGTTGTCTCCCTTATATACGCATCTGCCACTCTTATTGTGCCTTCTATCTGCTGCTGTCTTCCCCCCACTTATTAGCGACAGCACTTTCAAACACTGAGTTATATTCTGTTTCATTACAAGTGTTTCGGGAATGTCCGTAGGATGAGTTTTGTGTAATGCTCTGGGTCTGCCAGCACTCAAGTGTTGTAGGCCGATTGTAGGATGCGGGCTTGGAGACACGGTAGACAGAGGAAGCCAAGGTTCTTCTGAGGCAAATAAAAAACACCACAAAATTCAGGTAACTGCTCAAACATAGCTGTGGGCCATTCCGCATGTTCTTGGATGGGCGAAGGAGACTGATTTGTACCAGGTCTTCTGTTCATTATGATTTATGAACTTATCCAATGCGGATTCAAATCATATAAAGTAGCATATTTGCATGTTCATGTAGCTGAAAACAATAATAACCTTGAGGCTACGTTGAGATATAAGCTTTGATCGATGATTTGATAGTAGCAGCGACAATAGACTTAAGAAAATCTTTTAGATAGGTAGATCCTTCCATTTCACGAAATGTCAATAATCATAACTAGAGGCACATTTTCGCGAAACGAACAATTTAACTCATTATCCCATCTGGTTAGACAAGTACCTGATATATGATAATCCGTCTCATCAGGCGTTCAGTATGAACAGCTTTGACTTCATCAAACTTGGGACGACAACGACGATCTTCGCCTCGGTGCCGGACCAAATGTCCCGGTGCGCTACAACCGCCAGCTGTCATCTCTACGTTGCCGTTCGCGACACAGCCCACCACTACAACACCTTTTTCTCTGACCTGCCATGAAGGAGGTAGACCCTTGCTACATGAGGATTCTCAGGGTATAATGCCTTTTCGGGGGTTTGGGTCCGCCCGCCGTCTCATGAGGCCTATTCTTAGCATGTAGTCGTAGCCGTGTCAAATCGCACAACGCTGTGCCTCGACTTCAGCAGTTCATTAGTATGGTCTACTTTTTTGATGTGTTTAACATTCGGTAGACCCGCCAGAGCGTCGGTGCTGCTCTCAGAGGCCCCCATAGCCTACGGACCTTTTCCTCCGACTCCGAGAGGTTCCCTCCACTGCCTCTTCCCCGTGATGGATAGGTCCTCTATGTGAGTATGCCTTGTAAGGCAGCCACGAAAAAATAATTCGCGGACTTGAAGAGAATTGAGCTGAGACAGCTGTCAATGTCTGATTGGTTCTGGTTCGCGCAGTAGGCTGGGCGTGTTTATTAGGTCTTGTCGGAAGGAGAGTGGACATGAAGGATCCAAGGCCACCCGGTGGCTGGATTCGTTCTCGGATGAACAACTCCTTTTGGCGGCCCACATTGTCACAAAACGGCGTTTCTTGTCTCAGCAGATTTTTCGAGCAGATTCTCTACAAGAGGGCGACTATTCATGGAAGAGAACGAAGAGTCCATCAGAAGGAATGTGAATCGGAGCAATTGCGGAGGTAATATGGAAGGATCAAACTCGGTGATCCTCGAGAATCTATGAAGAGAGAAACGAGGTCCGAGGAGACACAATTGCTCCTGTGTACTCATGATTCCACTTGCTACCACTGAATGCCGTTGAAGCTTTATCCACGAACGGCACTTCTTCAAGATACGAGATTTATTATCGTCCAGGTCGAGTCGGCATCATAGCGACAAGCAGTTCGAACGATGTAGAGAATGCACTCCAGCCATTGTCAACTGTCTGAATCCAATAATGAATAAAAGTAGGCAGGGCTGCTCTGCCCTGACTCATCACTGACAGTTAAAATGAACAGATTGGTTGACTCCACGAAAAAAAGAAAAACGAAAAAAGGGAGAGATAATGTCCTCGAGAGTCTTTCACAGAGAGTGAGATTGCTAAATAAAGCAGCCTTGTGTTGACATGTACGCCGGCTTTGTGGACGACACTGTCTACTGCTAGGCGAGGAGTACTATCTGAACCCGAAACTTAGTCATCAGTGAGATCGAGTTTGATTTTTACCTCGTGTACGTTACTGTAAGTGCACGAGCTCGAAAGGGCATTGAGTTTTGGTGGGTGAAAACAACTTGCTGTTATGCTTGCACGATGCTTAGGAGGTCGATATAGCGTTCAAGACTGCGTCGAAGAACACGAGCTTTCAAGCTTTAGCTCCAAGGAGCTGTAGAGGGATCTTCATCATGGGAATAACCTTAATTAAGGCATACACTACGGCCATGAACTCATTTGTATGTACATAATTCGGCTAAAATTCTTCCCATATTGGGTCTCTGGCAGTATGTACGAAAGATGACGCAAACCATCGAGGTGACTGGGCAGAGACGGTCTTTAGCGATTTCCGTCATGTTGTTCAATTGTAGAGATCCTTACCCTTCATTAACGCTTACAAAAGATGCTCAAGCTGATTATGACGTTACTTGGGGAAACCATTCTTAGGACTTCTTGCCCTGAGTGATGATACAAACTCCTTAGCGAAGCAGACTGAGCCTCGCATTAACGTCATCATGAAGTAAGCTTCCCTAATATTTGCTGATATCGCTCAATAATTATGATGCAGGTGTACAAAAAGTTGACTTGGCCTTGTTCTATTACAAACCAAAGGGGAGGTTGATGGGAAGTCCGCCACCGAAAGGGATATTCACAGGCAGTCTGCCGCCGTTGTTATTCCGACCGCCAAACGGAAAACCTGTATCTGCGAAGGGAGTTCCGAAGTTGATATTGGGTCCTCCACGCCCATTAGTACTCCAGGACCACGAGCGCCCTTCACCACCACCGCCGATATCAATGTTGACATGCACGCGCCGATAGTTGGCGTCGTCATTTTGTTCTCCTTGCTGCTCGTTTTGCTGTCGATCTTGGCGGGAGGCTCGGCGCCTCGGTTCCGGTCGCTCCGGCCTGGAACTCTGGCGGGGGCGGCTGTAGCGGGGTCTTTGCCGTTCCGATTGCGGGATTGTACGCCGTGGAACTTCCTCATCAAACGAATTATTTCCCTCGTCCTCTTCTGGTTCTGGTTCTTGGTTTCGGCGCCGTGGCTGCTCTTGCTGAGGCTGTGGTGGTGGTATTGGCAGTGGCGGCGGTTCTCTGGGCGTTTTGATGTCTCCGTACAACCCATATATGCTTTCTTCCCAGTTCTTTCTGTTGTCGTTCTCTCCTTGTTTCCGCCGAAGCGGAGGCGATTGTGACCGATCGGGAGGGTCTATGCTTTCTTGGCTATAACGAGAGCTTTCTTCAGTTCTTCCGGTGCTGTACCTGGCAGTGTTACGATTGAAGTTGTTGCTGTATGAACTCGAGTACGATTGGCTTTGCTGGGTGTCCTTGCTCCGCTGGGAGCCTTGCGTTGTTTGTCGGACTAATGCATTGGATGGAGGAAAGGGAGACTGGCCCGGGCGAGGGTTACTGGAGTTGCCTAGGCTGCCGTTTGAACCGGATTTCTGGCTCATGGTGCTGGCTTCTGGTTTGAAGGCATGTAGCGGTAGTTTGCAATTATGGACGGAAGAGACTTGAGGGAAAGCGACGAGAAATTGACGGCAATGGCAAACTTTTAATCCAGGATGTGGCCTAGACGTCATGGGCGGCTAGCTCATCATGGTGCCACAGTTCTGGCACTTGAGATTCATGCGTTTCATAGATAGCTGTTTATGGGTCGATATGGGATGACGTCTCTCTGTTAGATGGGCCGAGACCATGCACGTTATGTTACTGCAGATGTTTGAGGTCCTCATTCATGATCCGCAACGACACATCGTCAGACCATACAAGCCCCTGACTGGTGCGTTGCTCTTATCTAGCAACAGCATCAGCTTTGACATCAGCACAGATGTATTTCGAGGGATTAACGAGTAGAGTTGGTTTGATGGCTCTTTCAGGTTTTCTACCGTCTGTTAAAACCCATCATTTTGCTACGGAGCTTTGACGCCTTCGGCCCATTTATCCGTCTCATCATCGGCCCATCTCAGTGTCAGGATCCCTGCAGCTGCTACCCGAACCCTTAATTCAACCACATTTTGCTAACAGAGCCTGTAGGGATCGCTTTCGACTCACTTGATAATGGGAACTACATCATATGGCAGTGATTGGCTTTCTAAACAACGACAGACCAATCTTTACTCCGCAGACAGTTGAACCTCCACTACTAATTTGTCCCCCGGATTTCCCCCACGCTGCTTAAGAACTGCAACTAAAGCAGTAAGGTGAGGTATATGCACTGGGAAGAAATAAATGAATTTTCTTGATTAAGTGTCCGATTGGCCAAGCCTGACCGGATCCCTTTTTTGAAGATAGGTAGCTGCATGACAAGGGCGAGACCGCATTTCCTGACTTGGGTTTGACTCATGAATCGATACAAAGTCCTATACAGGCTTGGTTCAAAGCTGGTGTAAAGCTTGCGCATCGTTCGAACGTTTTCAAGACCGGTGTTCTACTGTTTCATAATTCTCCTTGCTGTGCTCAATCTTCTCGGCAGGCAGCACGTCAGTGAGGCCCACAGAAGCCGCAATCGTCATAAGCCTTGCCTTCTCCGCATGGGCTGCCGTGTCGCCAAACACCAGGTCCATCTCTTCTAGGCTCTTGCCACGAGTCTCGGGAACGAAGAAGTACGTCATGACAAAGGCGAGGGCGCAAAAAGCGGCGAAGAAGAGATAGGTGCCGAAGCCAATGGTTTCGAGCATGTCTGGTGTCACAAGGCCGATGATGAAGTTGCACATCCAGGTTGCACTGGTCGTGATTGCCATGGCTTTCGAGCGGTTGCCGAGATTGAAAATCTCCGATGGGAGGACCCAGCCGATGGGCGCGAACGAATAGGAAAAGTTAATGTCGTAAATGTAGATGAAGGCAATGCCGGCCCAGCCCGCGGACTTGTGCGACTGTATAGAGGCGCCATATCCTCCGATGATGGAACCCACGATTACCAGTGAGATACAGGTACCGGCAGCGCCGCACAAGAGAAGAGGGCGCCGCCCGACTTTATCAATGAGGAAGAGGGCGGGTAGTGTTGATAACGTGTTCACAATCCCGTACACACCCGTCGCCAGAAGACTTGAAGTTTTTCCGGAGAGCCCAAGCTGAGAAAACATTGTCGGGGCATAATATATCACAGCATTGCAGCCCATGAATTGTTGAAAAAACATGACGCCGCATCCGATGGCTAGACGCTTTAAGTCAGGCCTAGACGATACCAGAGCGATATGTTGCGCGGCGAAGAGTGCGATTCCCTTCTTCCCGGGGTATTTATCGCGGTTGGTTGATTCGTCAAAGAGTACTTCGGCCTTGATACCCAAGTACTCGGCGCGAAGACATTCGGTGTCGGGGTGAACACGGCGGACCTTTGCCAACGCGGCAAGGGCTTTGTTCTCCTCACGACGCATGAGAAAGAACCGCGGAGACTCGGGGAAGAACATCATGCCAATTCCCAAAATCAGAGCCGGAACAATCTGGAGGCCGAACGGAATACGCCACGAGGCATCAGACTGACCAGTGCACCCGTTGGGACCAACATCGTGCCAAGGGTCGAACTTGGGGAGTTCCGGGGTGCCGCCTGAGTACGGGATGTCGGGATCACACCGAGGTCCGCCAATGTACTGGGTTCCATACTCAAGCCAGTAGCTGACAAGAATGCCGAGTGTAATGCTGAGCTGCTGCATGACGACCAGAGTGCCACGGATATGGGGCGTGGACAGCTCTGATATGTACATGGGCACAATCATTGTCAACATGCCAATGGCAAAGCCTGCAATGGCACGACCTGCTATTGTATTAGCTACGGCACAGAGTTACCTCACCATTTCTCCCTCACTTACCGGCAAACAACAGTGGGACGTCGCTTGCGGCGGTCTGGAAGGCAGATCCAAGGATGAAGATAGCAACGGCCAATAGCATGGAGCCTTTTCTGCCAAGGAAGTCGGCCATCGGGCCATTTACCAAAGACCCAAACCACGCAAAGAGAAGCAGTGCAGAGACAAACCAGCCCTTAAAGCTGCTGTCAGTGTCGATGCGGGGGAATCTGGCGGCGAAAGACTCCATCGTCAACACGCCGGAAACAACACCCTGATCATAGCCGAAAAGAAAACCACCCAAGCTGGCAAACTGCATAAGCCCATGCTAATCAGTGTTTCTCTTCTTGTATTCATCTGAGAGTAATATTAGGAAGTGCACTTACCGCAGAAAGGCCAAAGATGTAAGGATTTTCGTGGAGGTATCGCCAAACGCTCTGTTTTGGGGCCATGCCGCCTAGCTCGGTGACTGCGTGGTCACCCGACATCCTGATAGTTGAGAGTGGAGTAGATAATTAAGCACGCTTGCGGCTTATTCGGCGAGTTTTTTGATCTGGGGGATCTGGGGAATATTTTATTCCCCGGGGAGAATCTATAGGGCATTCATATAGTGTACGATCTCGTTTGGAGAATGGAACGAGCATGTAACTCTGCCCCATGGGGAATGGAGAATCTCAACGGAGGCATTGGACGAATGAGGTACGATGTATCAGTCGTTTGGTAACCTTATTTCCGGACAACAGAAGTCTGACCAATGAAAGATTCCAATCTAGCGCCAATCTGGGGATCCATCTATCCAGTTAATAGCGGACCAAGGTCCTATCGTAGTCTACGTGTCCAAGATCCTGAGCCATTTCTGCCATACTCCCCCCTCATCGCCGATCCTCTCCAAATAGTGTTTGGTTCTTGGCCCCACTGTTCACGGAAAACACCAGGAAGGCCGTTAAGAAAAATCCTATCATTTCCCGGGTGTATGTTGCCCGAATGGCAGACTCACCATGCAACAATATTATACTTGTATAATGCTTAAGACCGACTGACTAGCACTTTTGGGATCCTAATTCTAGCCGTGGTCAAGCGGGGGATCTTTTGTTAAGACATGTAGGCACCGCTTCTGAACTGATGTCTAGCAGATTTACTGACTCTTGCTGCACTTTTTGTTGGATATGCATGGTCACGAAATTACAATCACGGACGGAAACTTGGTACAAACAATAGCCATCCTACGTGAGCACATCAAGTGTCTGCTGGCAGGCCAAAGAATATCTCGCCCCTTGCGGAGAATTTTGGTCGCAGTGGCGTGACCGCTGTGCCGGGGCCTGGAAAGTCAACTATTACGACTCCTCTGGGACAGAATTTGAAGAAGCACGAAGTTGAGAATGCTGCGGTAGTTCCCACGGTGCGTCAGTTGCTCTACTAGATACATTCTTCCCGCAAAGTTACGTTTTATCAAAATAATTGTGCCATTGTTCTCGCGCCAACCTTTCTTCGTTCAACGAGACGGGTCTAGTGCTTCAAAAAAGAGACGCACCTTGTCCATTCCATAGTGGCGGTTTGGGAATACATCAGAGGAGGGTCTAATCAAACGGTTCCTGAACCACCCAAATAGCCATACAGAAGGATCACTTCAAGAATGATGGAACAGCGAGTAGACAACGAGTTGTCAGAAAACACATTACAAAAGATGTAGTGACCTGTATGGAGATCCTTCTGTCCAAGTAGCCTGCACCTCTAGGTCCGACTGAGAGTGCTGCCATCCCATTTGAGATAATTCTCAAGGTCTTCTTGCCAATCGAATCCATCCTATTCTTCTGGCACAACTTTTGAAATGACACCATGAGTTTCACTAGGAGTCGAAACTGTCAATGCAGGATGTGGTGAATCCCCTTTCCGGTTCTCCGCTGCCCTTGCGGCAAACGCTGCATCGATATCGTACTTTAGGTGAAGTTCGGGAAAAAAGACTGTCTACCCGAGCCAGACGATTATCGGCCCTGGTGAGATAACTACATCAACTAGTATCAAGTAGTTATATTACTGCAAAAGGGCGCAACACTGGACTTCTCATGCGAGGGTTAGAGGGTATTGTTGGATTCTCCTACGGTAGTGATATGAGTTTGAATTGCGTACACAGGCTTCGCAGCTCGGCTTCTCTCTTGGCACTGCGCTGGGCGTCATTCTTTGTCCTTAAATGTCAATCGGAGATGCTATCACTCCGACAGTGGGCCAACTTTCAGTTTCTTGATCCGACAGTAATGGTGCTGGAATTTGTTAGTTTGGGGAGAAGATTCGGTGGAACAAGGACGGCTGAAGACTGATACTGCCGGACTGCTGGCGAATGTTGAGAATGAGCTCATATCAGCCATGTTAAATAATACGATGATGACAAACCGGAGGGGTTGGTTTGTAGCTCACGCTTAGGGCTTTTTTTCCCACAGCAGCAGCGGGTGGCTGCCGACGGTCCAGCACAGCACCCCGGACACGGTCAGTAAGATCATTGTTATTCGCATCCTAGTAGCTTCCGTCCCAATCTGTTTCAAGCAGCGTAATTTTGATGCGATCTTTATTGAGGAGCCCCGAGATATCATCTCGGCTGATCATCAGATCTGTTGTCCTTTTGAGCTTGTGGCTTTGAGCGCACCTTTCCAGATTTTGGGGCAAAAGAAGCTCAAGGGTTGCCCCGTTCTCTGAACCGTCATACCCAACCACTCTTTTCACCCTCTTGGATATTATTTCAGATGAATTGGCCAGCAATATGAGCAGGTTGACTCAAAGGGCGCACTTTGTCAATGAGGAAGAAAGAAAACATGTT